CCAAAAGACGACGGCGGACAGACTAAATAGACTACAAAGGACTGATTGCTTAATGGCAACTGGAGCTATGCGATCATCGCTTGGAGCGGATCTTAATGCACTTCTATGCCTAACGCCATTTGATCTCTATCTAGACAAAGAGGCGAGGGCTAGTTTGTATAGGATTAACGTCCAGGGCGGTCTGAGCTTGCTCTCCTACAGATTGAGATCCATGCTCGACTCAATTAAGGAATCACCGATTTATGCATGATCTCAGATAGCATACGTCCACTACACACTTTTGATAAAAATTATATAGTGGAATTACCCTCCAGAGAAGACTGGCTGAATGGCCAGGTTATCTGTGAGGTCGGTAGCCTCATATGGTATACCGATGTGTCTAAAATGGGCCTCGACGTAGGCTTTGGAATTTACGGGGTACGCCCCAAATTCAAACCTAGTATGAATTTGGGTAGATACACCTCTATCTTCCAAGCAGAAATTTTTGCCATACTCTAAATCTTGAAATCAATCTGCAAAAATACTACGTCAACCATATAATTTACATAAACTCTGATAGTGAAGCAGCACTGCTAGCGCTGAGGTCAAACTTAGTGAACTCGAAGCTAGTTGGAGACTGCATGAACCGTTTAAACGCCCTGGGATGTAACAACATTGTCGTTTTAAGATGGGTTCCGGGTCACGAGGGTATTATAGGCAAAGAATTTGCCGACAAACTTGCACAGGAGGGCTCAAAGTGCACACATTTTGTGGAATCCCAAGAAGCCTGGCCCGATTGACCCTTGAAACTCTTTATCACAATAAATCACATAAGATCTGGTCTGACACACTAGGCTTAAAACATTCTAAAACCTTAATCCGGGCTTTTGATCGTAAATTCGCTTCAGAAGCCCTGGGATTAAGTAAAAATAAATTGGGCATTCTGGCAAGAGCCCTAACTGGAAACTGTTGTCTTAAAAAGCACATGTCCATCCTGGGACTAAGCAACTCAAGGATGTGTCGGTTCTATTCCATAACGGATGAAATGCCTCTACACATCCTAACTGATTGCTGACCCTTAATGCGCAAACGTAACACTCATCTGCGAAACTATGTACTCCGCCCAGAAGAAGTGAAATTGCTCACGGCTAAGCAACTCCTTCTATTCATTGAAGATATAGGGCTTAGCCGTGAACTATAGCCATAGCAGCGATCACAATAGATCTCCTAGGTCGCAGTGATGCTGGTCTCTTTCCCTAGACCTGCATAGCTGCTCGCACTTAATAAAAAAAAACTCAATATCCAATCAGTTGCCTTTGCTATATGTTTGGTAAGTAATAATGTTGGCGTACTGTTTTTGTTTCAAGTGTCACATAGACATGGCACTATATTTTACATAATATTATCACAACCAGTGTTTAGGTTGAAAATCCTGTGAGCCAACTGGTTAAGGGTACATACTGCGACACTAAGTAGTCGTGATTTTTGCCGTCATTCGAATACTGTCGTGATCACTTTGAGATCAATTAGATAATTATATAGAACATTTCCTATATTAGTAATATTGGTTGCATTGCTAGATAGATAGTCGCTATTTTATGTCTATCAGATAAATAATTTTCAAATTCGCAACATACAGTGCCATCTACTTATCTATTCGGGTGGACAACATTGGAACTAAGGCCGCCATTTTATAAATGACATTTCGTTGTAAGCTATTGTTTCTTAAGTAGCAATAGTATGCTCTCTACTAGCGACTCTGGAAACTGAACAGTAAAGTTGGTGACACCATACAAGATTATCTACCTTGTAATAAAACTCAAAATTGAATATTCGTAACAGCAAGTGTGATTTATCACTTGAGAAGGTTTTGAATTACAACATAGAATTCTCTAGCTTCAAACAGGCTCTTGAAAGTGTTTTAGGATTCAATTATGCGTGAGTAATTTGATTGCTAAGGGTTGCAAATTAATTTTTAACTTTATTATTTTATTAAGATAATGAAGATATCTGCAGTGGAACTTAATTAACTCACACAATCAAAAGGATAAACTGAGGTGGAAAAAGACCGACCATATAGCTCAAACAATCGACAACTGGTGAGAAAGACGCCTTTTTACTGGAAACCAGACACTCTCCTATTAAGATGGAGGTTAGAGGACTAACTAAGAGGTAAAACGGTTACTACACATCGGCATTTTTAATTTTAATCGAGTATAGATGTCAATGTCCATGGGCCACATCATCTTTTGCATTCATGCAGGAAGTTGATGTGTGCAGATAGTTCGAGTTTATTTTGAGGTATTCCCAGGAAGCTTTCTTAACATTTTGTGCCAAAAATTTCAGCTGAAATTACATCATCGACTTTTACCATACATTAGCACGCGTAAAAGCAATTTAATCTCGTCTCTTCTAATTAAGACGCCAGATGTCGGTGCTCATCGAGGCGCACGTAGCCAATTTGTCGGGCGACGTGTTGAACGACAAAACAGGCTCGTGTCACGGTTACTTGCAGATATTTCGTGAGCTAAGTGACGTAAAAATTGGATTATCCTTACTGTTACAGCCTATTTGATTCCACTGCTGAACAAAGGCTTCCCCCATAGATTGCCTCATAATATTCCAAGAGTGGTAACTAGCATGGTAAATATCCCCAATATTTGCTATAGTTACCGCGCTTGGTAAACGGGTTGGAATCCGCAGTTTTTTATTTTTAGTCGTTATTAGGAAGACGCTGCTGTCCATCTCCTGATTAGTTTCCCTCTGTCGCCTCTTACGACACCCACGGGATGATATGAGGTAGTGGATATTCTTACATCGCCAATACATGGATCATAAATTGGATTAAAATCAAATAAATCTCTTTCATTAGGTTAGATCATTAATATCGAAGGAAACCTTTCATCATCATCACCATCAGCCTGCGGTAGGGCACTGCTGGAAATAACCGCCGTATCAGTCTTATCAATGATACGGAGCCCCTGGATCACAGGGGTCCCGAACGTGTGTAAGCAAAAATTCGTAAATTGTTATTCACAATCTTACTTAAACTCTTAGGCCGTACTTCTCGAGAAAAAATCATATCATCAAATAGTGTCCAACGTACCTAAAGAAGACCTGTCAAAAATTACCAATTTCCTGTACTTTTTCAATACATTTCGATAACAGAAATTTATGATAATGTTCCTAAAGAAATATAATTTTATGAGTTCTGTTTGGGGTTTATAGCAGTATCCGATTACAGTGCTGGACTTAAAACTGTAATTTTAAATACTATAAAAGAATATGGAATTGATTTTTCCAAATGTAGAGGGCAGCGTTACGATGGAGCAAATATCATGTCGGTTGTATATGGAAGATTACGAACCCTTATAAAAGAGCATGCCTCAAATGCCGATTGATGAATGCCGATGCTACGAAATGTGTTCCTGAAGTGTCAATTTTTTTCGAAAATTTAGAAATAAATAGGGTTATTCCGTTTATCCAACCTAGGGTGGATTTTTTAAATTAAGTGCGAGCAGCTATGCAGATCTAGGGAAAGAGACCAGTATCAACCCTAGGATGGATACTCGGAAACGCGTGTTCATCTACAGTATCCATCCTAGACCATAGAATAAATAATAATATTTATTCTATGGTCTAGGTAAATCTTTATTGATATACATATTACATGCATACAATTTACAGTGGTTATTAGCCCCTAAACTAGGATATTTTTATACATGTATTTCAGGGGCTAAACAAATAGTTGCCTAGAAATAACAGTTCCCTAAACGAGGTGGATAATAATCGGAATTCATATACATATATTATTTTTCTCTTGATTTTCTCCCTCTGCTATGTTCAGTTATTTATAGAAATATGATAAAATATGGTCCAAGATAATTAGTAGGCATTACCTATAAAAATTTATACATATTTCTTGTATGGAAGGTCAACGCTGAAATAAAAGGATTACTTCACAGAATTACAGATTAATTAGAATCTTGGCATAAAATTATTTAAAATTAAGACAAATAATCATTAGGGAAGTTTTTTGGAATGCTTGTCAAAATGCCTAGTTCTTCGCTAAAATATCTGTTGTATCAAATAAATTTAGAATACGACCGCAAACGTACATTAAAAGTGAAGGAATTTATCCAGGATATTAAATTACGTCCACTCGATAATGAAATTAGTTTTGGTAATTGCCTGGACAACTTGCAGAATTTATAAATTACGCAATAATATTATTTAAAACGAGAAAGTTTAATTTGATTCAATTTTGTTTTAGCTTTGTAATACGTAATGCATGGACTTTAATAGGTAAACGGTTTTTTGAATAATTAATTAATAATTAAAGTGTATGCATTAAACTGTACATGGGGTAAAAATTCGGAAGAAAAAATAAAAGTGAACTACGATTATCAACCCCGCCTGGGGTGGATAGATGAACACGCGTTTGCGAGTATCCACTCAAGGGTGGATTTTTTAGGGTTGATAAAAGGAATAACCCAAAATATACTTTTTTAGCCATAGTATAAAGCGCTTATCAATGCTGAGTAACGATTCATCTAAAAGTATAAAATTACCCTTAAAAAGATGTCCTACTAGATGGTCCTTATGGTCTTTAAGAAACAACGCTTTATCAGCTATAAAGAAAAATTATTTTGATAACGAATTATATTAATAATGAAAACTAAATTTAAATTCCACTAAAAAGGCGAACGTGACGAATATAGATATGAAAACTTCTTCTCGTTTCTATAGATAAAGTTCAACACGCTGTACTATCCAGGGAGTCATTCTACAAGTCTCAATCAATTCGTTGTTCCGTCCGTTGTGACAATTTTTTAGTAGGTACAAAGCAAAGAAGGTGATATTGCAGAGAGGCTTCCCGGTTTCACATCATTATAGTACATATGCAAGGCAAATCCTCCCAAAACGGGAAAGGATTGTGATATTGTTATGGCAAATAAATCTTCAAATTCATTTATGAATACAAAATTGCTAGATTTAGTAAAATCACTTAAATTACTTACCCTACTGCGCGATCTCGTACCCTGTTGATAGTCTGAACCAAATCCACGGCCCTGCAACAAAATTAATGCTTTTATTATTTAGGTCGGACGTACACAAACTAATTTTTTTTACAAATACGTAGTACTTTTAGTAGTAGTAGAACTGGCTTATGTTCTTGACTATTCCACCTGATGGTAAGTGGTGATACAGTCGATAGACGACTTAGCTTAACAAAAACTCCTGCCTTACAAAAACCCACATTATACAAAAAAAAAGATGCTGCCAAATTATTCCACATCTTTGATGTGCGCATTATGAACAACGAAGCAAGACGTTGGGTTTGAAAGTATGGTATGTTTACAGTAAAGGCGTAAAAATCAGCGAAGGTCCGGTGTTTTGAGGATAAAATGGAGATAAACTATATAAACACACAATCACATATGGAAATCTGTATAATATTGCCTTCTTTTCTCTTTATTCATTAGTTTTACGAACAATTGCTCATACTAAAAGCTCATATTACTATACTATTACTTAAAGTAACAAGTGGCAATATTAAAAATTATGTACAACCGACTTCAATATAAATAAAATGAGAACATCATCATGTATTAGAAGTCAATTAAATACGCATTATTAGAGATAACTCAAAAACTACTTGTCATAACTTGATTATAATGAGATAATTTGATAATTTATATGAGACCACACGAGAAGCACCATCTTTTAAATAAAAAAAGAATGATCAGTATCGGTTTACCCAGAAAAAAGTTCTGAGTTAACACATATAAAGAAAAAAAAACATACAGTTGATTTGAGTACCTCCTCCTTTTTGAAGTCGGTTAGTAAAAAAAGTAATGTTTGTTTGTTCACAAAGTTCACGAAAGCACACTCCGCATGCATATAACCATAACACATAAACTGAAAATGTCAATTGATCCTCAATTAACATTAAAAATATATCGAGTTGTATGAATAGTGGTACATATACTCAAAAAAGATCACATAAATCTGTTTAACTTAACGCTTCTAACTTAATCTTTTACGAATAGACTTAGAGAATACTAGCTGTTCCCCGTGACTTCCCTGCGTGGAATTTGTTACGATTGAATTTCATGGGTTTAATTTTTTTTTGCGCAGAACCTTTATTCTTATTCTCAAATTATAGTAGCTTAAGTAACTACTTATAACACCAGCTACCTGGCAGTGTAGGTCCCGTCAAATTCAAAATCAGTCTAGTCATTTTAGACGGACAGGCAGATAGAAAAAATTTAAAAAAAGTTGTATTTTTATTATAAGTACCGTATATATTTTATACGCATTTAGTAAAAGCTGTTGTTTTGAAATTCAAAATAGATACTTCAATTATTTTGTATAGATTCTCCTTTGCTGTAAGTGGATGCTGTGGCCCATAGACATCTACACTTATCCACAATTAAGAATCAAAACGCAGATGCGTTGTCACCCCTGAGGACTAAGATAGAATGCCTCGTTTCCAGTAAAAAAGATTCTGCGGATCTCTACACTCACCATACGAAACACAGCAGCATTAAGCTACCATTTTACGCTGGTATTATGTGAGAGCGTGGTCCTTCTCCGGTCAAGCCGACCCATTCGTGCTACAACAACATTCGTAAACAAAAGTTTGCAGGGACAAATAATTGTTATGGTCTGGATGTGTGTCCTTGTGTATTTTATGTATATACCGCATCAACGAAATAGGAGAAAATCTATTTGAATAGAATAGAATACGGCACTGAAAATTTCGGGAATCAAGGAAGTGACAAAACATTTATTTAAAAATGTATTTATTGCTTTTCGAAGTATTCTCCGCGAAATTTGATACATTTTTCGATACAATGGAACCAATCATTGAAGCAAACATTCCATTCAGAATTTGGAGTCTCCAAAATGGCCGTTTTATAGGCGTCCACAGTTACTTCAGGTGATGAAAATCTCTGTCCACGCAATTTATTCTTTATTTTAGGGAAAGTATAGAAATCATTAGGGCTTAGGTCGGGGCTGTACGGCGGATGGTCTAATAATTCTATGTTTTCTTGCTCTAAAAACTCTTTTGTTCTGTGTGCGGTGTGAGTACTCTGCTTTACGGAGTTCAGAAACGAACTGTGGCAAACAAATGCTAGCATACCATTCTGCATTAACCGTTCTTTGTCCCTTAAGAGGAATAGTCGTAACATGGCCGATTTTGGAGACAAACGTGGCCACCATTTTTTTTGCAACACTCCGTGAACGAACAATTGTTTCGCTTGCGGCGCGGCGTGACGACGGCGCTGCCACAACCCAAACTCGTGACTGGTTTTTTGTTTCAGGTTCGTACGCATATATCCAGGATTCGTCACCTGATACAATGTTGTATACAGCATTTGAGGATTCTGCGTGGAATCTTTCGAGAGTTCTGACGCACCAAGTAACGCGAGCCGCTTTTTGCTCTTCACAGAGTGAATGCGGTATCCATCGGGAAAACAACTTTTTTATACCTAATTGTTCATGCAAGATTATTTGTATTTGACTGATGCCAATGTCTAAAGTTGCCTGAATTTCGCGATATGTCACGTCATCGATCTTCCTCAATCAGCTTACGCACAGCATCAACGTTTTCTTGGGTGACTGCAGTTTTTGGACGACCTTGACGGGGATCATCACTGAGCTTGATACGTCCATGGTGAAATTCAGCAAACCAGCTATAAATTGTGGTTTTGGATGGGGCTTCATCACCAAATGCAGAAATCATCTGGTCAACACACTGTTTTTGTGTTAAACCACTTCGAAAGTCATAATAAATCATCGCTCTTGAATTTTCTCGAGTCAATTCTATTTTCTCAACGACTAAACAAGTTTGATAAAACCTTGTGACGAGACCGAGAATCTTTTTTTAAATAAATAAATGGTATTCGATTTTTAAAACCAAGGAGTTTTCAATTAAAAAGATTTTAATATGACAGGAATAGTGGAAATATTCCATTCCCGATACTTTTAGTGCAGTCTAGGTAGAATCAATTTTATAGATTACAAAAATACTTATTGAAAGACATTTAAGTTTTATCATTAATTCAGAAAGAAAGCTCTGTCTTGAGAGGAACCAGCAAAAAACCCAGTGAAACTTTATTTTTAACATAAACTTACAATATAATATATCATACAATTAAGTGTGAAAACATTAAGAAACAATATAGTACGGATGACCTCATTCCTAGGGATTACTATTAATCATGTACTCTTTAGTAGTTTATTGATCCTTGTTTAACAATTTTTGCTTAATAAAAATAAATATAAATGATAAATTGGTCCTGCATTTATGTACTACATATTGCATACTGCATATTATGGGGGGTTTTCTCTAAAAGAGAAAAGTAAGATAGAATATTCTTACGCCGCGTTACCTTAGGGCAAATAGACTTATTGCAAATATATAATTGCGTTAACAATTTTAGATAATTACTTATTCCATTGTAAGGAAGTCACGTCGAAATCTAAAAGAAATCGTCAAAAGTTTATGTCAAGCCTTATATAAATTTACCAGTTAGCAAAGAGACGACGAAACTGTGGGTGTAGTGACAAATTTATCAAATAGATTGAATTTTCCCCGGGACGTGTTAGGATTTAAGCATGTTAACACTAAATAAAACGTCAACAGCGGGTGAAAACAGGTTAATTCGGTAAGCGAAGCGACGCGTGGCCACAGAACGCGTCATCGCCGAAACCACTATTTCATTGCGGATTAGCGGAAATTGCCACGATTACGTTAGGATAGGGCTACCACTAATATTACAATGCAAATCGGGATATCACAAATAATGTATACGATGGATATTTTAAAATTCGTTTATCATACTCGCGGTAGAGCAACGTTGTAGCTTCATCTAGGACCACACTCTCACAGACTAAGAGAATGACACAACAGAATAATATTGTGTTTCTTATGGTGAGTGAAGACGACAGTATTTCAGAGAGATAACAGATAACGTACCTCTATTTTTATTTATTCAGGAAAGAGTCTGTACGTGGTAGAGCCACGTTACAGCTATATTATAATTGTAGCATGAATGGGGCGGGCGGCTCAAATGGGACAGGACAACGCTCTCACAGAATATGAGCGTAAAATAGCAGCGTAATACTGCTGTGTTTCGTATGATGAGTTTAAAGAACCGGAGATACTTTTTTACTGGAATTGAGGCATTCAATCTTAGTACTCATGGGTGACAATGCATTTGAATTTTGATTCTTAATTGAGGATAAATGTGGATGTCTATGGGCCAAAGAATTCATTTACCATCAGGTGGAATGTGTGCTTGTTGGTCACCCAATGTTATAACAAAGAAAAAAGAAGATTAAGATGTCTATTAACCGATAGATGGACATTATGATTTATGATTGGTGTTAAATAAAATTGTCTTCACATTTTATTTTAGTTTACCAAAGATTGATATCCGTCGAGAATACAAAAAATTAAGATAATACTTAATTTTTTAAGAATTACTCATTGTCCTCGGTGGCATATTTTTAACAGATCTCTTGCATTATTGAAACTAATACTAAACTAACTACTAATAACTAAGCATATAAAAAGGGTAATACAAATAGTCTTTTTGAAAAATAAAGAGCTTTGTCAAACAATGTTATCACTATCTGTAACTCACAAACCAGGACAAATGACTTACCGATCGGGAACAGTGCTTCAAATCGTATGATATCCAGTATTATCTTGGTATATGGAAGCCCTATGTTAGCAAGACTGAATGTTACTCACGGTACAAATGGTTTTTTTTAACAATAAAGAGATTTTTTGAACAATGTTATCACTATCTGTAATTCACGAATTCGGGCCACCGACTAACTGATCGGGGACTGTGCTTAAAATCGGAACATATCCCGTGACGTCTGGTCATATGGAAGCCCTACGTTAGCAAGACTGAAAGTTACTCACGGTGGAACTTAAGCACATCGAAAGTGATTTACTGTAACGCGGTTTCATCACTAATATACCTATGATAGTTTTAGGATTTCTGGATTATATGAGATAGAGTGAGTCGTAGTTTTACTTCAAAATGAC